AACGTGGACGAGAAGCGACCGTGAAGAAAGCGAGCACCGGCTTTGATTAAGAATGTTATTGTAAAGAAATCTGTCTTCAAACAGAGAGGAAAGGCTGCAGAGGAGAGAAACACAGAAGGTCCTGACCAAGGTCCCAACCTGCTCTTTCACCTCCAGGCTAATTTGTTTTTCTTAAAACAGATCGGCTAAACCTTCAGCACATTGAAGCAATGACCTGAAGTGTAAATGTTCAGAAATGTTTTGATCTACTCGCTAACTTTTTGGAAGATTATTGAGCCAGTAACCCCTCGGCCACCCCCATCCACCCTGCTCCTCCATCTTTGCCTGTCTTTTCAGATTCATTAGTATTCCTCGGTTTTTGTTCCTTCTTTTTTAGGTTTGACATTGTCTTGGCAGAAAGGCCTGACACAAAAAGTTCACTGATGTTAAAGGTCAACCGCAGGGCCCCAGGAGGGAGCAGAGCTTTAGATCTCCCTGCATATTTATGATCCTGCTTCTGTATTATTTCCATAATCTTATGAAAACATTCATATTGTTTGACAAATGAGCATTTTCAGCCTGAGTTTGGGAAAGATATCCCACCAGTTCCTTCGCCTTTTGCACTGCATGTTTACTGGTTTGGGGGGGGGTCGGCCGAAACGTGCTGCTCAGTTTAGATGAAAAATCACCCAAACTATTGCGTAACAGAAAAAGCAATTGAAGCAATGATCTGCAGCCGGAGCAGATGTGATGCAGCTCCGCTTAGTTTAATCTTAAGACCCACATTATAAGGAATTTTATGGGAAAAAAGGGTTAGAATATCGTCACCGCTCTAAACTGATTCTGGATGCAAAAAAAGACAGGGCAGCGTCTGTTTATCGCTGTCACTCTGCGGCCGTGTGTTTACACCCAGCCACACACATTGACGGGCTCCTCTGGGGGGGGGGGTATCTAACCTAAACGGCCGAGAAGCGCCTCTCGTTCAGATGTGTGGAGAAAAAAGCCTCCACATCTAAGCGCTGAAATACACACGGGCATAGCAATGTTCCACATCAGCTGCCTTCTGCCGGCTGCTTTATTGTGTGAAACCTTCTGTTTCTTCTTTAAAGTATGGAGTGAACCTTGTTCCGTTATTGTTGCGAGCTAAAAACACATTTTGTAAATAGAAATAGAAAAAAAACACAACAGATTTTGTTTATTTACATTTCAAAAAAGCAATACACGTAAAAAAAAAAAATGTTTGTCAAAAAACTTTATCTTGATTTTCTTAATATTTTTTCCACATTTATTTATTTTGTTTTATTTTATATTTTCAATTTTTTTTTTTTTCCCAGACTGAGTTTTTACGAATTGCATTCTCCTCTGTATTGGTCAGTCTGTGCTTCACGAACAAGCGTTTGTTTGGGGCTTGAGGTGAAGAGAATGTTATCGGTGAAACTCGATTTTAAAAATAAAACTCAATATTATTAAAGTTATATTTTTGGGGGGGAAATGAAAATATAAAAACTGTAAAAAAAAAAATAAATAAAATAAAATATTAGAGCATAAAAAATAGAATATGAACAAGAAATGTAAAAAAAGAGAAAACAGCAAAACCATTTTGATCAAAATG